CTGTTGGCCACTGCCAGGTCTCATTGGTGTTTTAAGGAATATTGGGTGCTTCATATAGGAACTGAAGGGTTAATCTTATTAAACCCACTCAACCTGTGATTGGTGATGTTTTCCTGTCATTTTAAGAGTCTAAATATGGGGTGGGAGGGCAGATGTAAAAAACTTGTACAATTTTAAAATATCACAATTAAACGTGAGCTTGTTTCCCATAAATGAGTAATGTTTGATTTCTGAATCATGTCCTGAACTAGATGTATTCATAGATTGAATGACTTCGTCTTGAATAATCTGGTTATAGATTTTAGAAATTAGTTCTGAAAGATATTCTCAGAGTGAGCTTGGATAATAGTGTTATAATTATGTTTACTTCTTATAAAAGACTTGGTTATTGTTGGTTTTTTGCTTGTTTATTTGTTTTCTTTTAAAGCGAGTGTGTTCATTTCTATTGTGTATTAATTCAGGGAGAAAATCCTCTGGATTTCAGTATATTAAATGCTGTTCTGTAGTCCAAGGAAGAGATTAGACATTTGATATGTGTCTAACACATGATAGGTACACATGATAACTGTATCCAAAGTCTTAAGTGCTTATACAGTTGATGGATGTGATCACAGTTGTCAAATTGTGCACAAAAATTGTAGCAAGTGTCCTTAACCACTGAGCCATGTTTCCACTTCCTACTTTATAAAGGTTTCAAAAGGAGTTTCTGGGGTTGGGGATTTAGCTCAGTGGTAGAGCACTTGCTAAGGCCCTGGGTTTGGTCCTCAACTCTGGAAAAACAAAAACAAAACAAAACAAACAAACAAACAAACAAAAAAGGAGTTTCCAGGGCTGGAGCATAGCTCATCAGTAAAGAACTCTGGCTGCTCTTACAGAGGACCTGGGTTTGGATCCCAGCACCCACATGGTGGTTTATGACTGTCTGGAACTTAAGGGTGCACAGACAAGAGGCAAAAACACCCATCCACATTTTTTAAAAGGAATTTCCAGTGGCCAGGTGTGGTGGTACATATCTATACTTCTTCCACTGGGGAGGTGGAAGCAGAAGGAACAGGAATTTAAGGTCATCTCCAGCTACAGAACAAGTTGAAGGCCAGCCTGGCCTGGCTGAGACATGCCTCAAAAATTAAAAACTAGTAAGCCAACAGAAAAAAAGTGAGTATCTTTTTTTGTTAATGTACTTGATGCCAAATTAGTGTGAAGGCTCAATTAAGTCTATGCAATAGACATTGGGTAGCAGCCTCAAAGTAGACACACACATTGTTTTGTTCTTAAATCTCTATCGTGTGTGGGAAGGTAGTTCATGCCATGGCACATGTGTGGATGTCAGAACAACTTTGTGGAGTTGGTTCTGTCCATCCGTGTTAATGTTGGTTCTGGGGATTGAACTCGGGTTTTGAGGATTGCTTAGCAAACACCTCTGCCCACTGAGCATTTTGCTGGCTCCATTTTTGTTTTTAAGATGGGGTCTCAATGTGTAGACCTTGCTGGTCTGAAACTAGACTGTGCCGACCTTGAACTTATGGTATCCTTTCTGCTTTTGCCTCCTAACTTCTGGGGTTTTAGGTATGCACCCAGTGCCCACCCCAGAAGGTAGTGTGAGTCTTTCTTCTTCACTAGTGCATGGGCACTGGGTAGTTGTTAGGAAACGAGAGTCAAAGGGTGACTAGGCTCTGTTTTTGCCAAGTTCAGAGTGGCAGCTTGAGGCCAACTAGTAATTAGCAACCAAATGCAGGGGCACCTATCTTACTACAAATGAAAATTATGTTGAGATTTTAAAAAAAGATACACATGAGCGCATGTGCGCGTGTGCACACGTGTTTGCACACATGGCATGTGTGGCAGTCATAGGACAACTTTTCAGAAGTTGTTTCTCTCCCAGCCTTAGTTCCAAAATCCTACTCATTCTGTCAAGTACCTTAACCTGCTGAGCCATCTCCCCCAGCACTACCATTGTTTTAAAATGCAATCAGCCGGGCAGTGGTAGCGCACGCC